AAAAAAAAAAAAAAAAGTATTTATGTAAAAAAGCCCACATAGCCCCTGATACCTACCAAGGGCTCACAGCCAGCGTTGCCATACACTGCCATATGCTGCCTTACACTTGGCAGGTGAACCTGCTTCATACTCACTAGGCCAGCTAAAGCCATCAGATCCTAAGGAGAACATGTTTAAAAATTCCTGAAATTATCCTGATCTGCACAGTAATTTTTCACAGTATTTTGTGAGAAAAAATGGCTCAGTTCTGTGTGCAACCCTCAAGGTATATTAAGTAGAAGCAGCTAAGCTATGGAGCAGTGTGAACCATACACTCTTGTTAACCCATCTGTGTTCTGAAAGGTGTTAAGGAAGAAAGCAGTACAGTGGGTACTGGGGGCCCTAGGATCAAGCTGTGAGGCAGAAAGTAACAACAGTTTCATTTGCACAGCGATCCCTGTGTGAGAGCGAGCGGGCACGGGTACAAGCTGCACGGAAGCATACCCTGGTGTGGGCCCTGAGGCAGAGTCCCCCTGCAGACTGGCACCTCCCTGTACCACAAGAGAAGGACAAGTGACGAACACCCATCTTTGGCCTGTCCTCGCTTCTGCTTCAAGTGAGGCTCTGAGCATCCCAGTCTAGTGGGTCCCTGTGAGCTCCTGCCTGGACTGAAACAGCGGTACATTCTCCAGTTCTATCTGCCCACCCCTTATCTCTGTCGGGACACCACTATAAGTCTCTGAGACAGTTGAGCCCACTCTACAGCTTCCAGGAAACCAAGCATGGTGACAGGTACCTGTGAACAGCCAGGTCAGGCTGGCTCAGACCTCTCACCCCCAAGAGGACCACAGGCTGAGGGGCAGGTCTCACCTGCATGAAAACGTGACTGGGTCAGAATGAGATGGCAGAAGACCTGTGCTGCTGCAAATACCTCTTCCTGCCCTGGGGAAACAGGTTTACCACATCTCAGACTTGGTGACTACCATATATTGCCAGCCTCAGCAACCAAACAGGAGTTCATACTCTGATCAGTTCCATTGCAGAGGTAGGTGGAGCATGCCAAGCAGACAGGCCTCACTGCCCCTCTGCACCAATACACTTCACCTGAAGTTCCTAGCAGGGCCCTAGGAGACTGGGGATTTTTGTTTTTGTTTTTCTCTTTGGTTCTTTGAGACAGTATCTAGCTGAATGGCCCAGGCCAGCCTTGAACTCACTATGTAGCCACATTGGGTTCAGACTCCTGTCTCAGCCTCCCAAATTCTGGACTCTCAGGCATATGCCACCTTGCCTGGTGACACTCCAGTTTTTAAGAAACACACAACCTAGCCAGAAATGGTGGTACATGTCTGTCTATAAACACAGCACTTGGGGAGGCTGAGGCAGGAGGATTACAAAATTAGTCCCACCCTGGCCAAATTATCAATTAAAAAGGCCTGGGTTCATCCCCCAATACTGCAGAAAACAATTAAAACAAACCAAGAAAACGTACAGCTTTACAAGCTTTCATGGAGTATTGGCTTAGGAAACCAAGCCTACAAAGAGGATGGAGGGAGAAGGAGAGGGAAAGACGTAAGAATTAAAATTAGTTATGTATATGTTCACAATGCTACATGATGAATCTAATCACTATGTCCTGAAAACATGTATTAATAAAAAAAATTTTTAAACCACACCAAAGGACTAGAGGTGTGACTCAGTGTTACAATTTGCCTAGTATGTGTAAGCCCCTGACTTCTATCTTCAGCGAAGAAAAAACAAGCAAAAGAAAACCAAGCCCAAAGCACATAGGATTTAGGTCTCTTTCCCTCAGAATTTCCCCTGATAATGTTTGTTTTGGTACCAGAAATTGGCCTCAAGACCTTATGCTTGCCAGGCAGGTGCTGTGCCACTGAGCAACCTCCTCAGCTCCCCTGTGTATCAAAAACCATTTCACATGTTTGATTCCAAATAAAAGTTGAAAAATCCACATTTGTTAGATTTCTTTCTTTCTTTTTTCTTTTTTTATATTTAGGACAGGGTGTACAGGGTATACAGGGGTCTCACTGCATAGATCAGACTCCTACTGATCCTCCTGTTTGCAACCTTCCAAGTGCTGGGACTACAGGCGTATGCCATCATGCCCAGTCTCACTCCCTGTCTGAGTGCACCCTGGGGGCAGGGCCTGCATGGCTGGCCCTGGGATTGAACTCCCAGCCCCTGTGTCTGCCTAAGCAGGTGCTTTAATCCATTGGGCTATTTGGCCAGCCCTTTAGATTTCATACCTAACAATATCTTATTTGGGCAGTATTAGATGTGTATTTCCATTAGGTATTGTAATATATATATATATATCACCAAGAACACCAGTTCTTGTAGAGGTCTCTTAACACTAACAAGATGGTTAACATCAGTTGGCTGCACAGCTGGTATGAAGCATGATGCTGCAGGCCAATCCTGCGTACTTGCCACCTGCCCTGCCCCACTTCCTGGCCACAGGCAGTGGATTTGAGTATCTTTCAATTTATTTCTTGGAGGGTCGGAGAGATGGCTCAGTGGAATAAGCACTTCCCTGGCAAGTGCAAGGGCCTGAGTTCAATCCCTGGTTCAGCCAAAAAAACAAAAAACAAAAAACAAACAAAAAAAGGTCTCTCCTCAATTTATTTCTTGGAGCAAAATTACTGACCACTAGTTAGGCCAGGTGGCTCACACATATCCTACCACTTGGGAGGCTGAGGCAGGAGGATGGCTGTGAGTTCAAGTCCAGCTTGGGATACATAATGAGTTCAAAGCTAGCCTGAACGACATATGGAGACGGTCTCAAAAAAAATTTTTTTTTTATTACTTCAGAGTAAGAATAAGGTTTCCTCTCCCATGTTTCTATGCTTAATACAGGCTTATACATTCATGGGATCTCAAGAGCAGGGGAGAGTATAAAAAATAATCAAAGTTTCTCCACCCAAAGGGGTCATCCTTCATGTGTCTAAGCTAAGCAGTGAATCTTCAGGATGCTGTGACTCATTATTTCCAGCCAATAAAGAGAGAAATCTGCTAAAGATCTACAAGAATTTGTCTTACTTGTAAAACATAGGAAAGAAATATCTGAATTTTGCAGACCACATGATGCTTGGAAGTACAGCAGCTACATGGGAGTCCCTGGGTAAGAGTGAGACATGTAAGTACAGCGTGGGGGGAGCCAACCCTAAGCCAGTCAACAAGAAGCTCCTTCCCCTGGAGCCATTTTCTCTGTTACCTGCTGGCAGAGCTTTATGAAAGCTGCACACAGCCAAGTGCTTCTTGCTCTTTTCTATCTGAGTGTCTTTCCTCTACCACTGTTACATTTTGCTTCTCTTTGCTACAGAACAAGTTCCACATCAATAAGTGATCTGTCTGGATGGAATGTTCCTGTATCCCTTCCGTGTTCACTCCCAGGACCTCACGCACAGCTAGGCCCTAGCACCAAGCTACACTGCCAGCCAATGTCAGGCTTAAACTGACAATTTGCTTTCAAAGAGTCTCTGTTGCAGTTCAGAGGAACAACAAATATTGAACAGCAGTTAATACAAGTGAGACTGGGAATGTAGCTCAGTGGTGGAACACTTGCCTAGCATATGTAAGGCCTAGTGTTCAGTTTGCAGTGCTGAAAGAAAGAAGGAAAAGCAAAGGAAGTCTGCTCAAGTACCTACAGTAAAATATCAAGCTGGGTGCCTTAAACATGACTTACTTTTGATTGTAACACAAGAAATTTATTTAAGCCTGGCTTATTTCTAGAACTCTAAGGCCTTTACCTGGTTTGAAGATAGCTGCCTTCTCTGTCTACCTCTTCATACTGTTGTCCTCAGACTAACAATCTCTTATTAGGGCACCCATCGTACTGGCATAGGTTACATCTCAATGATCTTATTTTAACCTAATTTCCTCTTTAAGGACTCTACTTCTAGGGGCCAGGGAGATAGCTCAGTAGAATAAGTGCTTGCTTGGCAAGCGCAAGGGACTGAGTTGAACCCATGGTTCCGCAAAAAAAAAAAAAAAAAAGGACTCTACTTCTAATACACTCATATTCTGAGGTACAGGGGATTAAGCATTTCAACATAGGAAATTTGGTTGGAACAATGCTATCCATGACAGTAAAGTTTCAGTGTAAAATCTGCCTATTTCTTACTGATTTATAGCATTACAACTTGAGACAATTTTTGATTTCTAAGTTATTACTGCACATAAGAAATGGAAACAAGTTAGATTATTAGGGGCTTGGGGTAACTCACATAACTCATGGGTAGAGTTATATCGCATACTCTGTATAACAAACATGCATGAAACCATGGGTTCAAACCCACCATCATCACCCAGTCTGTTATATTTTGTTATGACAGCCTGAGCAGACTAATACATTGATTATTCCAGGATAATATAAGTAATGAACACTGTGAGACCTCTCTTCAGCCAGGCCTCAGCCTTCTACACTCTGGCTTACTCTGCAATCTGAAGCTTCCCTGCCCAGGTTAGACCCCAAAGATGGTTTCTCCTTCTGTCCTCCTGGGAAAGCTCTGTTTCTTTCAGCACATTTTCCCAATCCACAAAAAACCTGCCTATCCTTTATTTCCATTTCTTGGGGTTATTTTGTACCTCCTGTAAGGAGAAATTTTCCTTTTTGCCAGTATTTGCTCCCCCAGAGGATAGGGGTTGATGTCTTTGTCACCTTCTTTCCACTATGTGGCAGAGGGACACCACCTCTTACCCCCATCCATCCACACATGACTTTTTTTATTTTTTATTTTTCGGAACCAGGGTTTGAACTCAGGCCCTTGGGCTTGCCAGAGAAACGCTTATTCTACTGAGCCATCTCCCCGGCCCCAAGTTTTGACTCTTGTCTTTTCTTGTTTTGTTTTGTTGGCAGTACCAGGGAATGAACTCAGGACCTTGCACTTGCCAAGCAAGCACTTATTCTACTGAGCTATCTCCCTGGCTCTACATGACTTACTTTTGATTGTAACACAAGACAAAGACACTTATGATTAAACTTTTATTTATGACCAGCTTGTCTGATCTTTTTGGAAAGCAAACTTGAGCTCTAGCCGTTCTGACTCCTGGAGGACACTATGTTCAGAGGATAGCTGACTTCACTTCTATTTCTTGAATTCTACCTGTGTGTACATCTTGGTGATGTCATTGTACCTGCCTTCCGGGGGCTGGTAGCCAGAGACTGGTGGTGTGTATTGTGGTCCTTCCTTCTCAAAGGGGAACAATTTGGGGTCCCGCTTGATGGCCTCGGCATAGAGCTCTGGGGACTCAAGTTTCAGCTCCTGCAGGGCTTTCTGTTGGGCCTCCAGCATGGTCTTGATGGCATCCCTCTCCATCTCATGCTCTTGCTGCTTGTACAAGGCCCACTTCTTCAGAAGGAGAGCTCTCCGCTCACTCTCCTCAAAGGGAAGCTCCATCTGAGGTCGCTGTCTGAATACAAAGTCCAAAGATGGATAGTTAGGGTAAACCGAACTGCATATGTTGCAGGGTAATTATAAGCTTCTCTTCCAGAGGGTTAACAACCTAAGTTTGCAGATCAAAGATTGGAGAAAAGGAAGGGCTGCAAGGTCCGCCAACATTTTGGCCCTAGCCTTTCAAGGTCAGTGAAGACTGAGGACATAGGAGAACCCACACTGTAAGATCATGTAACTCAGTTGTGTCCCAAATTTTCTGATGAAGGAAATTATGGAGCCACAGAGGAATGTGATCGATGATGTAGAATGTGCCTGGGGAGAGTCAGATGGAGAGAAAACATTCTATCAGGCTTTTACAGAGAGCAAACTGGTCAAGCAATGGCCATGACTCATCCTCAAGGCTGACACTGACAAAGGGCCTACAAAGTGCAGTACAGGGCTACAGGATAAATCCTAAGGGTACTTGACTGACCTTATCAGATACAAAAGTTACATTTCTTGTCATATAGGTCTTGCTTTATCTTGGTCTTAACCATCCAGCAGAAAAGTATAAAAACAAGGTTTATGAAGTAAAGCCATATTAATATGCTGAGCTATAAAAGGCTCTAGTCAACAACTTCTGTGGATAACCCACTACTATTGTGGACTACTGGACTGTGTTGGATTGTTTTGCTGAATTCAAGCACCTATAGTATTTACATGCCAATAGAATACCCATCTCTGACAGGACTGAACCGGAGAAGGGGGATACAGAGGAAGGAACATTTTGTATTTGTATATACAGAATAGTTAGAATAGATGTACAGCTGCTTTCACTTGATTCAGTGAGAGAAAGGATTTGTAGTAGTAGTGTTTGGATGGGATGTCCTGGCTGCTTCTTGTGCTGTGGATGACCACTGAGAAGATAAAAATGCAATTTATTAATTATTGAAAATGTCCTATTAATCAGCTTGGGAAGTGTCTCATTGATATTTGTTTCTCAATAAAAAAAAAAAGTCCAAAGATGTGAGGTTGGAGAATACTAACCTCACTGTCAAGCGAGCCTGTGTGACTACACAGGATTCAATCATGCTCACTTTCTGTCACTACAAGATTAAGAAAACAGAAGAGTGGCAGTTTGGGAGAAATTAAGGAATAGAATGTTGAATGTGGCAGTTGCTACAACTCATACTGGGAGCTAAGTTCATATGCTTATCAAGTAGAAAAGGATTCTAGCACTCTGAAGGCTAAGGCAAGAGGATTGTTGCAAATTCAAGACTAACTTGGGCTACAAAGTGAGCTAAAGGCCATCCTGAACTACACAGCAACACCCTATATCAAAAAGTAGTAGAGGACTCAGACCAGAACCAAGTCTACTCCAGTCTATGAACCTATTTCCATCACAGGCATGAACTTCACTTAGAACTACCTGAAACTGATTGAATTTTGCTCTACAGATTTCAAGCCTAGAAAAGAATCTTTACCTTGATTTATCCAAGAACTTCAGAGGGGTAATAAAATCTTCAATGGGGATTAGCTCTTGGCTAGCCTTCTCCAGTTTTCGTATCCTCTTTTTCA